CAATTTTATTGGTTAAATAATTAATTTTATTAGTTAAAATTTTATTTGATCTATAGTGATCTTGTGATCCTGTGATTAGATTTTGGGCTTGTTAGAACCACCTCATTGAGGAGATCATTTTGGTAATATTGTGCCTGAAGTTGGGGTCTGCCTGAAGTTGGAACTTCAGGTGCCTGAAGTTGCACCGGCCTAAAACAGCTAACTAATGCGTGCAGGATGATCTAATTTCAGGAGCTAATTTCAGTCAGATACAACTTCAGGCAGATCCCAACTTCAGGCACGACAGTAACAAAACCATTTAAAATAGACCAATAGATTAAAAGTTATTGCTAATTACAAAAATCGGCGCATATTGTTACGGCTAATTTTTGCAATTGTACTAAAACAGATATAATTTGACACTTTTTTAAATCTTAAATAACTTTTGATCCACTGGACCGTTTTTAATGAAACAGCTACCAAAATATTCTTCACATCGAGACAATTCTAACGAGCCCAAAATTGTCAAAACCCAATCATTGGATCACAAGATTGCTAAGGTTTTTCACGAGGATGACGCACCTATAATGTGGGGTAATCGGTTAGACCGCATCTAACCGATTACCCCACATTATAGGTGCGTCATCCTCGTGAAAAACCTTAGCGATCTTGTGATCCAATGATTGGGTTTTGACAATTTTGGGCTCGTTAGAATCGTCTCGATGTGAAGAATATTTTGGTAGCTGTTTCATTAAAAACGGTCCAGTGGATCAAAAGTTATTTAAGATTTAAAAAAGTGTCAAATTATATCTGTTTTAGTACAATTGCAAAAATTAGCCGAAACGTGTAGATCCAGGATGATCAAAACTTTGCGATTTGATTGGTTAAAAATCAAAATTACATAAAGCACAGTAAAATTGATCAGCAATGATACGAGTTTCAATTTACAGCAGAGACCGTTAATGTTACACATATTAAAACTGGTGAGAGATCCAACATAAATAATTTGATCACAAGCGAGAGGGATTCATTTTGGATCGGGCACTGTCTCTGCTGTTGTTTCAATTAGATCTTATCAAAACAACGAACATGCGCAATTTTTTTAAATCAGCTATAACGAGGCTAGTCTTATACCAAAATTTTGCAAGAAAAATTTTTTTACTAGTGTGCAGAATATAGTCATATAGATGGAATTTGAGTTACAGGCAATTTTTTAAAAACGAACCTAAAACTAGAGGTTAAAGGGGAATCATAGTATATAGATAGTTTTAAGTCAAAAGATCTAACAATTAAAAAGTTAAAGTGTTAGTCATTGAAATTTATATAAAAAACGCATGTAAAAGAATCTTGTAGGGGCATATTTCAACGCCTTATATATTATCATAATTCAAAGATACAATTTTATCATGGATTATCATCATTGTAATCTAAAATTTTCAAACAGTAATGACAGAGAATTTTATGGTTCTGCAAAACTTTATCAGTATATGATGGATGATTGTAATATTCATTGTTTGATATTTAATTCAACAAATGGACATTTAATAATAGGAGTTAGAGACAATGAACGATTTTTGATCACTACGAGTTGCTTTACTGGTGATCATCTTTCACGTGAAAATATTGAAAGACTACATGAAGAAACTATTAATCGATTTAACCAGTTTGAAATTTATATTTATTATTTTCCTTGTAGAATTGGAGCTCATGAAGAACATTTTGAATTTATAAAAGATTCTAAAAAAATATACTATGTGTTTGAAAAAAAGAAGTTTAAAGATTTGTTTAAAAGAATTATCTTGAAATTTCCTTTTTCAATTGATCAAAACGAGGATTATACTGAAACACTTTCTCGTGAATTTGGTTTGAACGAAATACGACGATTTGTTTGTAGATTTAATATTAAGTTTAAAGGTCGTTATGAAGAGCTTGAATTGAAATATTTCGGGTTTGATTATTATGCGAATTACGAAAAGAACTCTA